AAAATATTCTATTTTATTCCTACATCTATTAGTACTTTTAAGATATTTAATATGCATTTTATACATAAATGAGAATATTTCTAATATTTGACATTTTAGGCTATTGTTTACATTTTATACATGAAATGCACGATTTTGAACTTTTTTATTATTTGATAATTATTTTGGAAGTATTATTTTTCTTGACAAAATTCTTTAGATATATTTTAGAACATCAATAGTTGAGGAAGATAGCATTATTGGACCTTTAGAGCAATAAGAGTGAAGATTGGGCCAAGTCCAAATTTGACCCATAAGAAATAAATAAAGAGAGCAAAGAAAAAAGGAAAGGAAAAAAAGCTACGCTTCTCCCAAATCCCAAGCGTAGGAAAAGAAGAAGAAGGCGCAAGAGACGGGAATCCAGCGCGAGAGATACAATTCTTCTCATATTCAAACTCTTCTACTTCAATTATAAAAAGAGGAGACCAGATCGGGAAAGGGGGAGACGGATAGAGACGAGAGAACAGATCGGAGCAGAGCAGGTGCCGACCTAGGGTTCCGACCCTAGGTCCGGAGACGGCAATTGCACAGCGGTGACGACGACGGGAGGTCCGGACGGCGACGGCAAGGCGAGATCGATGCTTCGGTGATTGGGAACTCCCCCGACTCCTAGCTTCTGTACACTGTTCGGACAAACACAGAAACTCAGGGGAGCAATTTTCTCCTTTTTAATTTCATTCTTTAATTAAGACTTTCCAATTTATAAGTTTCTCAATTTATGAATTTGATTGTCAGTATTAAATATGTTTATTTTCAATTCCATGTTTGTTGAATGTTTAAGTTATATTATAAGTGTTGAATTGTTTGTGTGTTAGTGTTGAATTGTTCAAATATGATTTATTGATTTATTATTGTCTCTGAAATTATAAAATCTTCTTAGGCTAAATTGTTTGATGAAAAAGATTGAATCTTTGTTTGTTGAATTAATTTGACTTTGAAGGAATTTTTAGCTTTATGCTACTGTTAAATCTAAACTCGAAAATGATGTTTGAAAACTAGTCTTTGTTTAAACTTGGATTAGATCAATTTAGGACGGCCGCCTAAACTCTAATTCCAATTGACAGTTTTAAGATCTTGAATACGTTTATAGCTAAGATTTTTAAAACACAAGTGTCACCTGGTTAATACATAATTGGCTCCCACCCAATTTTTATTAATCAGAGTTTTCAAGCTGGCTATGTTAAATAGATATAGTCTACTGCATAGTTGTTAAGTGATGTTTTCCAAAGAACTTAATGCTCTATTTTTAATTAAATCTGGGGGCAGGTCCTTGGGTTGTTAAGAATAGTAGGGTCTAGAGTTAGGGCAGGTCTTAACATAGGCTATAGGCTATATTAGGGAGAATAGGGAAGAGCCGCAGGTGGATCTCTTCTTCAGCTTAACCCTGAGTTTAATTAGCAGTTTAGTTTCAGGATTAAGACATAATTAATTGATTAATCAGATTTGTTCAATTTATTTTCTATTAAAAACTATAAGTATTTTCAAAATGGTTTAAGTTAATTATTATTGTCTATGTTATTATAAAGTTTATTGTGTGATTGTTTTTGTGTGTTGGTTTGTCCCTGAGTGTCTTCTGAGTTCGAGTTGCTGTTCTGGTTTCATTTCGTATCTCTTATCTGTTATCCTTATCTTTATTTTATTTGCATTTTTATATTTTTAGAATTATCATTCAAACTCCNGTTAAGAATAGTAGGGTCTAGAGTTAGGGCAGGTCTTAACATAGGCTATATTAGGGAGAATAGGGAAGAACCGCAGGTGGATCTCTTCTTCAGCTTAACCCTGAGTTTAATTAGCAGTTTAGTTTCAGGATTAAGACATAATTAATTGATTAATCAGATTTGTTCAATTTATTTTCTATTAAAAACTATAAGTATTTTCAAAATGGTTTAAGTTAATTATTATTGTCTATGTTATTATAAAGTTTATTGTGTGATTGTTTTTGTGTGTTGGTTTGTCCCTGAGTGTCTTCTGAGTTCGAGTTGCTGTTCTGGTTTCATTTCGTATCTCTTATCTGTTATCCTTATCTTTATTTTATTTGCATTTTTATATTTTTAGAATTATCATTCAAACTCCCCATATCTCTTAGTTTTCGTTTTAGATTTTCGTTAGTTTTTATTCAATAAAAGTGACAACTGAACTGATTTTCGTAGCCTAAAAAGTATCTTTGCTCGTGGGATCGACCTTTACTTGCCCTATCTTTATGTTTTGATGAATATTGAATCATAAAGGGGATTAAAAGTTAAGGAAATAATAAATTAATTTGTAGGTGTTACGACACGCCTAACAGTAAGTTTAAGATCTTGAAGACCCATTTTATCTTAAACTAAGCCTAGCTTAAGGATTATTTAAAAAATACCTTATACTGAATATAGTTTAAATTGTCTTAAACTAAACCTCGTTTTAAGGGGTTGATAAACATTAAAGTGATTGACCTTAGACTAAGAATAGTTTAAGGATATAATCGAATGTTAAATATTGAAATATAAATGTTGAATGTTGAATATGAATGAATATTGAATGATGATTATTGAATTGGATATTGTGAATATTATGAATGAGTGATGAACGTTGAATGTGAATATGAATGTTGAATAATGAATGATGAATATTGATTAATGCTTATTGAATATCTAAACTGAATATTATGTGCATGATATCAAATGATTTGATTATGAATTTAGATTCAGTTTATATGGATGTTCGACGCATTAGATATGCTTACTCAGCTTCAACGATGAGCGTGTAATATGTTTTATTTGTTACACGCAGGTTAATAAAAAGGATGATGGGACGTGATCCTGGAGGCAGACGGAGGCGAGATTGTCGGAATGGATGTGATGGTTTTGAATTGAAGAATATAAATAAATTATATTTATGATTGTGATTTTATAAGCTTCCGTAATATTCAAAACTCGGTACTGTTTATGATATGAAAAATATTATAGTGATAAATAAAAGTGTTTGAAATGTTTTAAATTTTCACGATTACCAAGTTAATACTTTAGTCCGAAAGGGGCTACAGACCTAGACGGATTAGGGTGTTACACTGCAACTGACAAGACAGAAACTATTCCTGCTATTGAAGATATCCAAACAGCAGCCCACAATGTTTTTGGTACTCATGTTCTTGCTAAAATTCTTACTAGTACTACAGAAGCTACCACTTACCATATTTATGATCCTCAAACAATGGAAACAAGAAGCTACGTACCAACTCTTGAAGTGGGAACAGTTAGCATTCTTTCAAAGTATTGGCCAAGTAGGAAAACCACAACCATGGAACGCATCATCACAACAGAGAGCTAGGAGCTACACTAGACAATTTTGGTATGTAGGCCCCGTCAGTCCCATAGGAAAAGACATGAAAACGTCAAAAAAAGTCATGCCGAAAAACAAATCACTCGATGATCACCCGGGTTTTATAATCTGGGAATGATCATTGTTCAAAAAATTTCCTTCTCTCAGCTTATTTTCTTTCACTGTTGTTCTTTCCCAATGGGTTTGGCCTAGTCTCTTGTACTTGTCTTTATTGAATAAAATTTTACTTTATAACATGTGTGTGTGTGTAATGGGCCCAGTCGGGACAGACTGTCTATCACCCTTATGGGCCTAGACTGTCGGTCACCCTTATGGGCCGGCCGTGAAAGGGAGGCTCTTAATATGTTTCATTATTCTCGTAAGAGAACTAGAAATGGGAGTAATGTCCGCGGTGCCATCTGGTGTTTAACACCAATGGGAGTCGTTCTCTGTTTTTACACATACTCACTGATATTAAACGTCAGGTGCCTTGGTTCACCTAGCACTTTGATGCGAGAGGCCGGCGCGAGTTTAGCAGCGTCTAAAAATGCACTGTCGCGCTTCGTCATATGGCGTACGGGACTGCTAGTGATGTTGGCTTGAAAAATCAGGTCATTGATTTATAAATTTTCTAAAACTATTATTCAACTTTATCATAAGAGGTATTTACGTAAACCAACGGCGAGCGACATTGAGCAGTTACAAGTGAAGCATGCCGCTAAACATGACTTTATCGGCATGCTTGGGAGCATCGATTGTATACATCGTGAGTGAAAAAAATGTCCACACTCCTACTGTGTGACATGGTTAGTTCTCCCATTGATCATCCCAAGCCTCCTATTATGCTCGAAGCAGTAGCTTCAAATGACTTGTAGTTTTGGCATACTTTTTTTGGTGTTGCGGGCTCAAACGACAACATTAATGCTCTTGATCAATTACTCGTATTTGACGATTGGGTTAATAAGATTATATTCAACTTGTCTTTTGAGCTTAGATGAACGCTTTACAAGCATGATTATTATCTTTTCGGTGGAATATATCCAATTCATTCCATAATTATCAAGTCCCTCATAACCAATCAATCTCAAATGGTAGACGTACAAAAAAACTCATGAGGCAACAAGAAAGGATATCGAACAAGCCTTCGGGGTGTTGAAGGGTAAGTGACACATTATAAATCATCCGTCCAAGTGTTGTTCTCAAACAAAGATGAAGATTATCATTTACGCATGTATTATTCTTCATAAAATGGTTATAGAGAACTACAAATTTGCAATTAGTCATTACAACCCAGATGAGGAGGTGCCTACATACGAAAAAATCAACGAAGAAAAGAAACAAAGAAATAGCCCAAAAAATCGAAGCCAAAGATTCACAATGCACTAAATGCAAATTTGATTAAACATATTTTTAATCGCTCAAATAATCATTGATTTTTTCATAATGTAACAACAACAACAACCCAGTTAAATCTCACAAGACTAGGGTCTAGGGAGGGTGTGTGTACGCAGACCTTGCCCCTACTCGAATGTAGAGAGGCTGTTTCCAAAGAGACCCCGGCTCAACGTCAAAAGTTGCATTGCTTGACGCACACCAAGACATCAACAAAATCAAGGACAACATTTTCGGCCAACCACGCCCAAGGAAGGGCCTTGGAGGCCAGGATCTATTCCCACTCCACACACGAGAGGGGAGACATAATGCATGACACCCAAGCATACGTGCCCTCAACCGAATGGCTTGAGGCGCAACTTGCGTTCATAATGTAATGTAATTTATTTTATTTAATGTACTATTGTCATTTAAATTTAATTAATTAATGAATTCTTATTAGTAATTTACTTTTACAGTGTATTAAAAATTAAAAAATAAATATTTGAAACCCTAATTTGAAACTCCAGGACTTCAAAGTTATTTCCACTGAAACTATGATGTAAGATAAATGAGGGTTAAAGCTGATGTGGCAATGAGAGAAGGTTTGAAACACAAGTTTGAAGCTCCGAGCTTCAAACGTATTTCCAGTGCTCTAAGCAATCTTTAGAGGAACAATATCCAGATTCATTAAAAAAATTGTATTGCATTTTTGTCCGGAATTTTATTCCCAACAATATGTACATGAAATGGGTTTGTTCTTGTCAATGTATCCATAATGATACTAGTGTACTAGAGCTCCCATTCATCTCACCGTGCGTGACGTCTTTTTTTAGTAGACTACCGTTATCTGACTCCAGTGCTCTGGCCTACATGTTCTCTTCAAAAAACTGCAGACAGAGCGGTCTTCCAAAAAGATCCATTATTGACTCCAAGACTTCAAAAATATGGTTTAGCCAATGAATCCTGTAACCCGGAACTCTGGTTTGATGCATTATTAACCCATCCCATGTTGTGGTTGGTAGTAGGAAAACTGACAGAAGCTTCATGGCTGCTTAGATAGGTAAGCAGAAGATTATTACCAGGTGGTTGTTGCGTGTTTGCTCCTGAAGGACTTTGTATGCCCATCGGACCATAGTTCCTGGGCAGCATGAACCGCTCGGTGGACCCCACCGTATCATAGGAGATGCCACGACACAACTCATTACACTCTGATACAACACTGAATAAGCTCTGATCAGAAGCATTTCCATTTGTGCATTGGGATTGACCAACTCTGCTTTCCAAACTAGACCAGACGCCACGTTCTCGATTCTCACCCGAGAACCAATTCTGACCCAACAACACATCACCACAACCATTTGGATTAGAAATTTGTGCCGCCGGCATGCGAATAGAATTCATATCCCAATCGGGCATAGCGACATTCAAGTTCCCATGCCTTCGTGGAAATGGATATGTGCCTCCAACAGAGTACTCATTTCCAAGAACATCCTGATGCTGCATATAAAGATCGCTATGTTCCCCTTGCCTCAGCACCAAAGAGCCGGAAAATTGAGAAGGTTCTGCAATTAAATTGGCGCTTCTTGGATGAAAAGTCAGTGAAGAATGTTCCTGCTTGTTGTGAACTGACCCAGGGGAATCACCCTCTATGAACGATTGCAAACCATCACTACGGTCATCATGGTAAGAGCCGATAAAAGATACATTGTTAGATTCTCCGTGCAACCTCTCCTTCCCAATTTCTTTTTTACATGACAGCCCTTCAACAAAGTGGGAAGCTCGATCATCCATAACTTGCGGATGTGATAGTGGCAGCAGCTCCACAGAAGCACGGTATTCATCATTCATTGAGGTAGCTTTAAAGACCCCCCTAGGCATGCTAGTGACTGGCCAAATGCTATTATTAGAAGAAAGAGGACTCCCCTGATTTAAGGCATCTTTGTTCAATGATTCTGACACTGATGGAGACTCTTTGTCAATTTTTTTTATGATATCATCATCACATGGTTCTGGATCCAGCTGGTAGAACTCATTAGTGACACTAAGAGGGACCATTTGATGCACCTGCTCATATGGCTCAGAACTAGAGCTGGACCAACTATCGCCTTTGATGGTAGTAGCAGTGTTAAAATGGACCTTCTCCTGAACCATGCAAATAGGCTCATCTGTTTCTTCCTCCTATGCATTAATTAAAAAACAAGCTATATTATAGAGATTACTGCAAATACAACAAAGCAAAGACCAATCTAATCCCAACTTCAGTGGGGTATAAGGTGTCACCATGTATGCAGGTGAATGAAAAAAATATAGATAGGCTGTTTCATATAACTCACTGCAATGTGAACGAAGAAAAATAAAATAATATATGATCAAGCCAAAAGAGTATAATCAACCTCCACCAACACAATGGATGAGCTGTGATCTCCCGCATCATTGTTATCAATTGGATGTAGGAGAAACCTATTGGGTGTACCTTCCTCGTCATCCTCGACACCCTATATGAAGTGGAACAAGTTATTTTTTGTTTTCTAATACACCGAAAACAAGCTTTCAGACCAAGCACTATACTAGCCTTATACTTGTGGGCGATAATATATGCTTAGTAGCAAGGTTGTTAAGGCTACTAAGCAAGGTGAGGCACCAGAGTATCATCACATCACCTAGGCGACAATTAGGCGGTAGTGATATGGCGAAATAATGCAAATTTAAATACATGTGCGCACACGTACATATGTGTGCATGTGATTGCATGCTATACAATTATGTTTTTAGGTACTGATCTAAAAACATAAAAGGTACTCCCTCTATCCTAAAATTAACTTCCTTGTTTGACTTTCGTGGTCAAACTTTTTAAACTTTGACCGCATATTATACAAAAAATACATTGAATTTTATATAAATTTAATATAAATATATTCGTTTTGAAATATTTTATTTTTATAATTTATATTTATATATAAACATAGATATTAATGGTCAAAGTGTTGCATAGGAGACCGTGAAAAGGCAAATGAGAAGTTAATTTTAGGACGGAGGGAGTAACTAATATGGATAATGTGTAGCCTAATACTAGGCCTCCTTAACTTCAATTTCTCGAATTCTCCGATTGATGATGATGATGAGGATATGGAGTAATAATAATAAAAATATTAGTAATAATAATGATACTAATACTAATAATAATAAGTATTAATAATAATATTATTATTATTATTAAATCATTCAAAGAAATTCTAGCATTTTAAAATGATGCCTTAGGCCCAATCTGATAAGTGTTTCTCTTTTTAAAATAAGGGAAAAAAATTATAATGAAAGAAGAAATATTCTCCATAGATTGTAGGTATTACACTATTACCGGATTAGTATAGAGTTGAGACTCACAAACAGTCCCAACTCAGTTTTCTGGGCAGACAAAAAATGGGAAAAAGAAAAAAAAAGACCTACTGCTGCGAACCGAAGACTGACAACAAGCAATGACCTGAAAAAGATGACATATTTTTGAGATCAGAGTGCAAGAGCGCATCAACTTAAACATTCGGGACGGGTATGGCAAAATCGGGTGACCAGATATGCCTAGGCGATGCGAACAAGACGTCGTTAACAACTGAAGTAAAACTAGGCAAGGCGTCCAGGCTGCACCGCTATAGCGATTAGGTGACACCTTAATAACTATGCTCAGTCGCCAGAACTTCGGGCAATTAAGCTACATTATTCAAGTATATCGGTCCTCAAGAAATATAACAATTATTTGAAGGGGCTACAAAAGCATTGCTCTATTATTAAAATAGGGTGCAGATGGCCTTTAATCCCTGATAGAATGGAGCGCTCTGTGAGGATAGGGAGTAAGATAACGGACCTCTGCTGTCAATGTGGGTGCAATTTCTGTTACTTCTTTGCTTATCATTTCCATAGACTTGAGATCATAAAATACTCTCAAGCTATCCTGATAATAAAAAAATGCCAACCCGGCAAAAAAAGTACATGCAGCATTACGCTAAATGCTAAATATTGTTGAAATATTACATGTTGCTAAGCATACAAGGAGAAGAGGATTTCAGAAATAGAAATAATGAAAACAAGCAAACCTGACTAAGGGATCTCAGCTTTGCTTTAATTTCATGACATATAGAGTCCCTCACATGCCCTTTTTTTAATTGTCTCTTCAACCAGTTTGAATAATGTTCAGGAAGATCTCTTTTTGCCAATTGCATCCTGAAAATTGGGGGTGGGTGGGTAGGATGGAAATCAGACCTAACGAACATGCCATATATTACACTTACTCTTAAAACAACACTACAGAGATGCTAACCAGTGTTCATGTAATTTCTGCGTCTCTTCTTCCTCGTATGCTTCAAAGGGCTTCACATGGAGATTTTCTATGTTACCTAGAACATTGTTTAGGGCCCTTGAGTGGATGCTATTGCTATTATGCTTCAGGCTATTCTTAATGCGTTGATAGTGCTCCTTGCTAACCTGATATGACCAGAAGCAGAAAAATGTGGAGATGGATTTAAGTCCATAAGCTACAATAACAACGATAGTAGGGTCTGGGGAGGGTGTGTGTATGCATATCTTGCGGTGGTTTGGAAAATTGGCACCAATACCCCCTCTGTTTTCAAAACTTATTTCTAAAGTCCCTGTGGTTTCAAAACGTAGCACCCACACCCCCTCTGATCATTTTCCGGCAAAGAGGGGGCATTGGCGCATAATTTCTAAACCATAGGGGGCACTCGTGCTCATTTCTTATTTTTCGTTTATTATTTGTGTTTTTCCTTCTTTTTCCTTTTCCTAGATTTTTTTTATTTCTTTTCAATTTTTTACAATGTTTTAAAAAATTTTAAAATTCTGTGTTTGAAATAATAATAAAAAATTAACATACATTACATCTATCTCAAATTAAACATTTTCACTTTTTGTTTAATAGAATAATTTTTTGGAAAGTTCAAAAAGAAAACCCAAAATAAAAATATGGAAAAATGAAATGAAAATTTAAAATACACAAAAAAGATTCTACAAAAAATAATTTGGGAACATGCCTAAAAAAATCATTAAAATTGAGATGTCCAAAAACGATAATCATTTTATTTGTTAGATTTAATCGTATTGTTTAATTCATGGTCAGAAGTTAGTTAGTTTAGATTTAAATTTTAAAAATAAAAGGGACAGTTATGGGTAGTTATGGGTAGTTATTTCTAGAAGTTATAGGTAGTTATTTCTGGAAGTTGTGTTAGTTAGTAATAGACGTGTTGATTAGTACCAATAGTTGTGTTGGTTGTTGTCTATAAATATTCCATGAACATAGAATTCATGTATGTAGCACAATAAAAAAATCACAATTCTATTCTGCATTTGATCTGTTCTTCCTATCATTTTTCCTAAAATTGGTATCAGAGAAGTCCAATTTACGATCAGAGGGTGTGCGATCAGCGACAGGAAAAGGGAGATCTGCCAGATCGCATAACAGAGCATTAGAGACTTCCTTGACAACAGATCAAAATCTTCGACAAGATTCTTCCTCGCCTAGGACAAGAATAGCAAGTGGCTATTTTTTCCTTTGGCAGAAGCATTCCAACCAACCAGTGCAGGAAAAACGAATGAGCGGGGTAGCTTTCGTTTAGTGGCTTGGAAGACGGAAAAGCAGGGGCTTGTCTTCTGGTTGATGGTCGATTGCAGGTGGCTTACGACCCAGGAAGGAATCAAAGTCTAAGAATTTTGTGAAAATTGTCAGAGGAATTAAAGTCGTGCAATGGAAGACAATAGACAGATTGTGACTACAAGGGAGAATAGTTCACTATCTTTTACGGTTCCAATTCTAACTGCTACAAACTACACTATTTGGGTCGTGAAGATTAAAGCAATTTTTAATGTTAATGGGATTTGGGAGGTGATCGAACCAGGAACAGAAATCGATCCAAAGAAGAACAATATGGCAATATTATATCTGTTTCAAGCTTTGCCGGAAGAGATTGTGCTACAAGTTGCTCAGTTTAGTGAAGCAAAAACAATTTGGGATGCTTTGAAGACTCGCTTCATTCGTGTTGACAGGGTTAATGCGGCGCGATTACAGACACTTGAATCATATTTTGAGGCTCTAAAGATGAAGAACAATGAGTCACTTGATGATTTTGCTGGTAAAATTAGTCAACTTGCAACACAAGCAAACAACCTTGGGTCTGCATTTGAAGACAAAAGATTGGTTCGAAAGCTTTTGGGTTCTGTACCTGAAAAGTTCATACAGATCGTTGCTGCAATTGAACAATTTGCTTACATTAACACAATACCGTTTCAAGAAGCGGTTGGAAGATTGAAAGCATTCGAGGAACGCATCAAAAAGCCAACTCGGGAAGGAGATACGCATGGTAAACAACTATTCACTAAAGGTGATGAAAAAAAGAAGGTTCAAGAGCACAAATGTGAGCATTGTGGTTGCTGGAACTCATGGTAGTCAAACTCGCAAGTTGACTCGTATGAGTCTACGACTCTAAGGATCGTCGGGAGCTTCCCGATCCAAGACGCCTGCAGAATCGCAAAATTCAGTAGGCTCGTCAGGACCGGCGTTTTGAATCGTGGAATCGCAGGAGCGCATACAATCGGCGATTGTGAGAAGCCCAAAGACCTAAGCGCAGCGTCGCTTCAAAATCTTCTTCCAATCGCAATTTGAAGTTGTCGGGAATTGCAATTGGAAAGTCGCGTCTGTCGCGACTCCCAATTTGAATGGGAAACCTGCGTATCTTCTTCTATGTATTCCCAATTTCAATCAGAAACCAGGTATCTTCTTCTATTTATTTGGGAATCGAGACTTCTACTCCCAATCTGCTTCTAATCGTGACTTGGGACCCTCAATTTATCAGCCTTTCTTCAGCTTCTTTCTTTAAGTCATTTGTGATCCAACTTGAACTTGTGTTATGTTTTATTAAAATTTAATTAAAACATTAAACATATATATATATATAGTAGGATCTTACGATCCGAGTCACGATCTTATGATGTTAGGATCTTCATTGTGCTTATCAATCCTACGTAGAATCTAGAGTTTGACTACCATGCTGGAACTCAAACCGAGAAGACTTTGGACGTGGCCGTGGTAGAGGTCAGGGGTCCGGGAAAGGTCAGGATGGTGTTCGGTTTCAAGAGTCACATTAAGTGTTTCAAGTACAATGAGTTAGGCCATTTTTTAATTCATGGTCAGAAGTTACTTAGTTTAGATTTAGGGGGGTGTATTCAATTCCGACTTTGCAGGATTTTTCTGGATTTTAAAAGTCAATGAGTATTCAATTGAGATTTTGAAAAATCTTTTAAAATTTTGACATATTCAATTGAGATTTTAAAAAATCTTTCTAAATCTAATGATATTGAAAAATTAATAGATTTTTAAGGATTGTTATAAAAAATGGATTGTGATGGATTTTGAGGTTGAAGTATAAATTAAAAAATTGCTTCCAAATCCAATCAACAGGGTAGGGATTTTGTGAGGAGTACAAAGAGCCAGTTTCTTTCTCAGTTCATCTTCTCCATCACTTCCGGCGGATCTTCATCTTCTGGATCTCGTGCTTTTCCGGTAGAGCTTCCGCCTCTTACTCCTCATCTCCTTCCCTTTCTTCCTCTTTTCTCCATCTCTCCAGGTATGAACATCATCCTTCTTCATCTCTGTCCCCTTTTCCTTCTTCTTCTTCTACTTGTGTTCATGTGTTTTTTTTGAGAATATTGACTTTTTTATTCTCTTTTGGTGTGTTTTTTATAAATTATGTTCTTTATCCTTCTATATAATGCTCTGTATATTACTTTTGAGTAAAGGTTAGGGGCAAGAAGGTAGAGCAACATAAAATTGTCACATTTTTGTTTGCTCTGCTCCCTCAATTGTCTATTATATCAATTGTGTCTTTATTGCATCACTGTTTGGTTCCTCCATTGTCTTTAATTATAGATTTCTAGGTTAATATGGTTATACCTTCTATGTGTTTGAAGAAATGTCAAGAAGAGTTGTTCTTAATATGTTAAAAAATTGTTAGAATCTATTTCTAAGATTATTTCGGAAATAATTTCTCGAGATTTCATTATGCACAAGAGCACCTGGGATTTGGGATTGCTGCCAAGAGCACCCAAGATTGTAGGAAGCTGGACCCTAATTGTTAGAATATGTATTCTCAATGTCCGATTTGCCCCTGGAATTTGGGATTGCTGCCAAGAGCACCCAAGATTGTATGAAGCTGGACCCTAATGCTAATGTGATGTTGCACCAGGCTGAAATGATATTTATGGCCATTATAAGTGTTCTGTGTTGTGCTTGGTTGTTCTGTTTTTGGAGACTTTCTGTTCTTTACATTGGCGTATGTACTCCGTAGTACTTTTTTCCTGATAAAGAGTGTCGTTCTGATGAATTTCCTCCTGAAACAGAACTAAGTTCTGAAATACTTTCTCAAACTCAACAACAACAAAGAACAGAAGCTAACGCTTGGAGACATGGCATTGCTGAAGCTATGTGGGGCGATCGACCACAAAATGAAGCTAATGAGGAGAATGAAGAAGGTTTTAGTGATAATGAAGTTGAAATGGAAGACTCTGTTGTTTAATAATTATATTTTTCAATTATCTTTAAATTTTAGATAATGTCTTCTTTTGTATTTTTTTTATTTTCATTGATGAACTTTGACATACAAGAAGAATGATTGAGACAATAACGGTTTTAGTTCTAAAAACAAAGTTATTGCTTATGACATTGAGCACTACACGGAGTATTATTTTATTCTAACAAACATATTATGATGATGAAAAAGTTTTTAAAAAATAATTTATTTTTATTTTATTATAATCTTTTCAAAAATTTTAATAGCTAATTACAATAGTTGATGTTACAATAATGTATAACTTTATAAAATAATTCATATTTATGTATAAATAATATATGGATTATAAACAATCAAACAGAATCCTATAAAATCATGTTGATAAAATACATTAAAATCTAACAAACTCTGCTTAGACTTAAAATAATCCATGGATTTTACATAATCCATAGACTTTAAACAATGTATCGAAATCTTTCAGAATCGTGATTAAATACACCCCCCTTAAATTTTAAAAATAAAAGGGACAGTTATGGGTAGTTATTTCTGGAAGTTATAGGTAGTTATTTCTGGAAGTTGTATTACGTAGTAATAGACGTGTTGATTAGTACCAATAGTTGTGTTGGTTGTTGTCTATAAATATTCCATGTACATAGAATTCTTGTATGTAGCACAATAAAAAATCACAATTCTATTCTACATTTGATCTGTTCTTCCTATCATTTTTCCTACATTATTTTGGTATTATTTTATTTCTTATTTTATAACTATTTTTTTTGAAGTTCTCAAAAACAATTACCTTTTTTTGAAAGAAAAAAAATTGTTAATTTGAGACGTGCCAATGCATTATATGTTAATTTTTTCAAACAAAAATAACTTTAAATCTTAAGAATATTATAAAAGTAATTGTAAAATAACCTTTATCAATAAATGAAACAAATAAAGGAAAAAATGGAAAAAAACAAAAAATAAGCGAGAAATAAAAAATCAGCACTGGTACCCCCTATGGTTTAGAAAATATGCACCAATGCCCCCCTTCTTCGCCGGGAAAATGATCGGAAAATGATCGGAAAATGATCAGAGGGGGCACGTGTGCATCGTTTTGAAACCACAAGGACTTTAGAAATAAGTTTCGAAAACGGGGGGTATTGTTGCCTATTTTGCAAACCAAGGGTGGTACTGGCGCTATTTGGCCCAGATCTGTCCTCTAGTAGAAAGTAGAGAGGTTGTTTCCAAGACACCCCTGGCTCATGCAGTACCAATAATAAAAAGTAATAAAAAAAACATAGGCACATAGAGTATAGAGAGCACAAAACACAAAGAGACAAAGAGGACACTAATGTTAACTACGGAAAGCATTGCAAGCAGAGAATTTAAGTCCATAAGCTACAAACAGAAATTGTTTACTATGCTTGTTTGCCTTTCCTATGTAAGTTAGTTCATTCATTTTTTTTGTGCTCTTTGCTTTTCCTGTGCTAGTTGTCTTCTGTGTTCTTGTGTTGTTTGTGTAACTTGAGCCAGGGGTCTCTTGGAAACAGTCTCCCTACTTTTGAGTAGGGATAAGGTCTGCGTACACACACCCCTTCACACCCCTTCCAAAGCCTACTATCGCGGGATCCAAGTGGAACACACAGAAACCCAACAAAGATAGAAGACATGCTAGATTATTTGCATGGTTTATAGCAAAATTATGATGCATCGAGTGAATACTAAAAGATCTGCAAAGGATAAGTTACCTTAATGTAAGACATATATTTCGATCCATCTATCTGTTGTATGTTACATTTCTGTAACTGCTCTCCATTATTATGCTTTGACATATCACTCCAATCCAATGAATTTCCATATTGGTTGTCCATGCTAATTTTTCTGTGGGCATTATAAGAAAAGATTATAATGACAAACAGTTCAACAGAGAGAAAATACAAGAAACAGTCACTACAAAGACATAATTGCTAAATCTCAAAACTATGATTAGTAAATAATTATTTTAGCCCAACAAAGTTGATTTGATGGGTTATGGCGTCTGGGTTATGGGGATAATTAGAAAATAATTATTGACATCTACTGGCGACTCAAATTCCTTTCAAAATTCTATTAATTTCATTATTTCCTTTATTAACAAAAGTGTGATAGAAAAGACTCCAGTGGAGAACGAAGTTACCTCCTTTCACTAGCTCCCTGCAACACTGATGGGTTTGGACTGTCACTACTAAAATCTTTGTCTCCAGCAGCCCAAGAATACTCAGGTGTGATAACAAGATTTTCTTCAGCATCAAATTCTAAGATATGCCCTCTTTTCCCATGAGGCTTTTTTGACCTGTTATATTTTTTAATCAAAACAAAGAAGTTATATAAGATAGTTCAAAAAACAGTACCACGGCAGAGAACTGCAGCAAGAAGGCTTACTTCACTTACTCTCATTTTAGGTTCAAATTGCTATTAAAGACTATACAACAACAGAACCACAACAGACAACTGCAAGAAGATACAATATTCACAGCTAAAGAACTATTCAACAAAGGGAATTTGCATTTTTATCCTTCAGTTGCAGGCATAGGTTGTAGATTGGTTTAATCCCCAACATAAGAGATTTCTAAAATGCCAATGCCAAAAAGATGAAACCATAAAATTGTAGTGTTGATATAATCATCAGACTCTTCTTCCCGGACTAGCCGACTCTCCCAGCACTTTGCTTTTTCCAACTTGCCTACTTTTTGCTATCCTTTTTAAGTTCTTTATGCTATTATATTGCATGCCTACTTTTTATAGCTACGTTCACACTACTACCAAAGATTCACCATTGAATTTTGTGGCAAGGGTTGGCCTAACCTTAGTTTCACCAATGCACAAAGATATTTTGTATCTTCAAAAGAATGAGATCAAAAAATAGGAATACGGGATACTCTAACTTAGCATGACCCATTTTAGTTCTTACTTCGTTTGGTAAAGAATGATGGGATTATCTGTTGACCACTATGAGCTGAACTATACACTACAGTGAAGGATAACTTGTTGGGTGTGAAGCCTTTTGGGCCTTTGGCCTGGTCTGGCAAAAGATGAGCAATTGGGTCGGGCCGGCCCTTATGGCCTTTGGGCCTGTTTATTGTTATCTTGTTGCCCAAGTTTTGCTAAACCTAACTAGTCTTATTCACACCCGAATAAGAGAAACCCTTGTTGCAACCCGTGGAGTAGGTCACTGACCGAACCACAATATATTCTCGTACACACACCCTCCCCCATGGTCTGCGTACACACACCCTCCCCCATGGAAGTCAAATTTGCGAGTTGACTCGTACGAGTCTACGAATCTGAGGATCGCCAGGAGCTTCCCGAACCAAGACGCCTGCAGAATCGCAAAATTCAGTAGGCTTGTCAGGATCGGGGTTTTGGCTCGTGGAATCGCAGGAGCGCATATAATCGGCGATTGTGAGAAGCCCAAAGACCTAAGCACAGCGTCGCTTCAAAATCTTCTTCCAATCGCAATTTGAAGTTGTCGGGAATTGCAATTGGAAAGTCGCGTCTGTCACAACTCCCAATTTGAATGGGAAACCTGCGCATCTTCTTCTATTTATTCCCAATTTCAATCGAAAACCAGGTATCTTCTTCTATTTATTTGGGAATCGAGACTTCTACTCCCAATGTGCTTCTAATCGCGACTTGGGACCCTCAATTTATCAGCCTTTCTTTGGCTTCTTTCTTCGGCTTTTTTCTTTAAGTCATTTGTGATCCAACTTGAACTTGTGTTATGTTTTATTAAAATTTAATTAAAACATTAAACATATATATATAGTAGGATCTTACGATCCGAGTCACGATCTTACGATGTTACGATCTTCATTATGCTTATTGATCCTAAGTAGAATCTAGAGTTTGACTACCATGCCCTTCCCGGACCCTACTTTTGTGGGACCCAACTTAGTCGTTGTTGTATTCACAAGCTCTCGGATTAAGAACACCTAATTTGCAGCCGAAAGCTTCTCATACATGTTTTCTAGTGCATTCATCATATCCCAAGTCGTTTTCTACTTCATGATATTGAATGCCACATCTTTAGTCAGTGCCTGTATGATACCCAATTTGGCTCTCTTGTCTTTCACATCCCAATAAGCTTGAGCCATCTTTTCCGGTTTTTCCATTGTCAATACCATATCCAGATCATTTCGACATAACAATGCTTCTACTTGCATCTTCCACCATCCAAAATCAATCCCGTTAAACTTCTCAATCAAAACCTTCTCACCTTCAGCCATAGCAAATGAGAGAGAGAGAAGACCCAAGGTAAACTAGTTTTGAATTCGGTAAACCTGTCTCTCCTTTTTTTTAGATAATTAACTGCCCCTTTCTTTTAAATGATTCAAACAAGCAGCCCCATAAAACATCTTTAGTATTCTCTCAAACGGACACAACAGCCACAATACCGATCGCACCCCTTCTGGCTTCTGGTTGGTGGCTCCAAGGTTTACAGCAAAAAATGGCTGCTACTAGGGTTGCAAAACCCTAATCAAACCTGCCTTTGATGCCACTACCATGTGTAACAAAACAACTCTCCTCTAGCTTCAGATCGTCCAACCCTAAATTGACCAGAAAAAATTTTCAGGGCCTCGGCCCGAACACCACCCCCCCCGGGCCGGATGAATGAACTGTAAAGGAACTTGGCATTTTGATACCAGTTGTTAGAAATAATCAACTAGATAAGTGCGGGGGAAACACAAGCACAAATGAAACGAAAAAATGACACGAGAATATAACGTGGTTCGATAAGTGTGACCTACTCCACGGGTTGCAACTAGGGTTTCTCTTTATTCACGTGTGAAGATTACAATTACATAGCATGGTATTTATAAGACTAATTAGGTTTAGCAAAGCTTAAAAAACAAGATAACAATAAACAGGCCCAAAGGCCATTAGGTCTGGTCCGACGCAATTGCTCATCTTTTGCCAGACCGGGCCAAAGGCGCAAAAGGCTTCGCAGCCAACAGGATGAGGGGGTAAGGATATATTCTAGTGGTTACAACCATCACCTCTACTCTTCACTGGGGATGAGGGGGGATAGGAAATCTCTTACATCACACTCCACATGTTTCCAGGTGAACCGGGATGAGAAGAGCCTTGTGTGACTACATCTAGCAGTATCGAACATACCGGGAAAATAGAAGACTCAACACACAGCCAGGAATTCTTAGAGTCACTTCTAGTACCGAACCATGGACTTGATCGAAACACTGCATAAAGCTAAACAAAAAAGAGTCTAACTTGTAATGGTCAATTGTCTTTCAAAATAGGCTCTTTAATGGCTTAACCCATTTCCTACTTTAAACCTGGCTTTCATAAGGATATCATAAGTGTTATACCCCTGGATGGCTCCACCCAAACCTCAAACCATCCCTAAACATCCAAAATGCCTTGTCTTTTATTTCCTTTAAAATAAAGTCTTCCTCCACTTATTTTAAGTCCCTTGACTGAAAATAAGAAGACCATTTTTATTTCTTTTTTTTAAAGCCTTAAATAATAAAATAACACACTTCCCTTCTTGTTCCTACATAGGGATGAAATTCCAGCCCCATTTGGTTCCTAAAATCCAACCAAAATTACCATTTACCACAAATAAAAAAATCAGCAAAAAAGAGTCTAAAGTTGAATTGTAAAAGTTTCTCCTTTTGTTGACTAATTTCACAACCAAACATGTAGTGTACCTTCCTCACCTTTTCCCCTACAAAAGGCCGAAATAATCTCTTCAAAACAAGCCAAAGAATATCCTCCAAATTCATCCAATATCTCCTTGTGATTTTATTCACTAGAGGCCGAACAAACCAGCCCCATTTTTAGCCAAATAACATCCCACTAAGCCCCACAATGTTTCCCACTTATTTGTGCTACATATGGACGAAATAGACCCTTCCAAAATATGCTAAATAAAGCTTTGTCACAGCCTTGGACTTTCCTCACATGTGGCCAACATACACACCCCAAAAAAAACAGCCAAAGGAAACCCTCATCCTAATAATCAATGCACTCTGGATGCTGATTTGGGAAGGCAGTAGGAAGCTTCTTTGTTATTGTTTTCTTCTTCATTATTAATGTATTATTTCCCCTTTGTAGTGTGCATATATAGTTCGGCCTTATGGCCATTGTAAGCAGCATATTTTAATTCAAAAACCTTATTTACTCTTTTGAGTATTCTCTTAAAATAGTGTGATGCTATTTTAGCCAAATTCCTAATTCTATATCTTAAGAGTGGTTCTCTTAAGTGTGAGTTTTAGGTTCTAGATATNNCCATTTAGTAATACACTTGTTGTGTTTGCTATTTAAATTCCTAAATCTATATCTTAAGAGTGGTTATCTTAAGTGTGAGTTTTAGGTTCTAGATATTTAATTAAGTGTGTCATATCTTGATTGAATTCTAGATTCAAACCCCAAGTTAAGATAAGAGTGTGTTATATCTCTTAACACCAACTTGGTTTATCCCTTCACTTTACCTCTGCCAATTTCATTTCTCACCATTTCTTCTTCTTGAACTTATTCTTTTCTTTCATCAAAACCCAAAAAAAAACAACTCTTTGTTCCACCCCCATATTTCGTCCCCCTCATTTCCTCTTCACCATTCCATAACTCCATCTTCAAATAGCAACTTGATTATACCCCGGGTCTCGGGTATAACAATAAGATTGTGTGTTTTAATGCTAGTGTACTACACTCTTCATAAACTGAAGTTCGGGTCAAACATAGGATAAGTCTTCAAGTCATTCTTGATGACAGGGACATAACCGAAGAGCTAGATTCAGTGGTTTCCCTGGATGTTATAGTACTTTGTTCCACAGTGCTTTATGTGACATTATACTCCTCATTGTATACCCTCATGCTCCACTGTGGCTACTAGCTTATGCAGACATATTCACAACTTGAACCCCAGTTGATGAAGAGGAAACGTTGGTTGCTGCACATCAGTGGATGCAGAGGTTTTACAATAACAAATAACGTGGAGTGAACCATGAGGTGAGAGACTGAGTTTGGTTACAATTGCAATCATATAAGAAGTTCATTATGGATCGTTCATTATTAGAAACTATTAACACGTTATTATGCAGCAATCAAAGTCCTAGAGACGATAGATAAAGACTGTAAAGTAGCATACAAACATCAACTACCAGGATATAGCAAAATTCATCACATGTTGCATGTGTCCCTGCTAACACTATGTTTAGCATTTCTATGATTGTTCAAAGTAAATATACATTGAGGGTACGGAAACTAATTGCTGGGAATTGATCTCATTCATTCATATTGCAGAGATAGAAGATTAAGAAGATTAAGAAGCTGATCATGGAACTTCAGACGATGATATGGGTTTTACAAAGATATGAATTGGTTTGATTTGCATAAATGGAGGACGACGGTATGGATTTGAGACAAGATGAAGACGACGATATGGATTTGTTGAAAGTATAAATGGTTAAAATAATTGTTGAATTTGCAAGCATAAATTTTGTTCGGGAAAGTTGTTTGGGAATTTACAACTTTTTTTATATTTTGTAAGGCAGTGTAATATAGTCATTTCATTGCTTATCTCTTTCCAAATAACATTTTATAATATCCTACCTCATAAATTATCAACCACGTTATTAATGCATTACCTAGATAACACTACCTAGCATTGGTTACCTTCATTTACCTACCTAATAAAAGTTACCTCCACCTCTTTCCAAACAACCTTAAACCACATAGAGGACCGGAACCAACTAATGGGGAACCTTACAAGTAAAACATGTCTTTCAGCTTTGCATTGAGGAGGATGTTGTTAACCATATTGGGACGTAAGCAGGGTAAAAGTAGACTTAAGAAGAGTTGGAGCGAGGTGATTTGACATGACTTACAACCTCAGAAACTAGCCGAGGTTATGGTCTAATATGAGCCTAGAGCGGAGTAGAGGATTAGGATGGTAGGTAGGCCTTGGGTGTAGTACACTCCTGTGTAAGACTTGGTGCTATAGTTTGTTATATTTAGCTGCATCTTTTATGCTCCTCTCTTTCTTTTGCCATTTCTATTTTCCTTTACTTATTTTTTCTTTATGGATTCTTTTGTGTTTTGAATTGGGTGTCTCATGGAACAACCTCCCAAGCCACTCTCTACTATTTAAGTAGGGTCACTCACCCTTCAGACCCCTTCAATGGGTTCATTGTTACAATTCCTTCAATGCAATTAGTTACCACTATGTCATGATGAAATCATGGGAAAATTTCTCCATAACCCTATCACATTACGGTGTCACATGTTCTGTAGCTCTAGATTAAACCTAAATGACATGCCTTGCCTGAAAATCCAAAAGTTTCAAATAAACACCTTTGCCTAGGCATTGATACTGAGGTGCCAAAAGTGGTATATCGCCATTGAAGAATGAATGGTGATTTATGAACTCCTCCAAAGTGACTCCCCTTGGACTCCTTGCTTGTCGGCGTTGTATTGGATTAGAGCTTCGGCGATAGGCTCTAGAGCAAAAATTGTTGAACTCATCTCAACTTCCTCTACAACTTTCATGGTTGTAACTACTTCAAATTCCACGATTTAGTTATACAAAAAGTACTCCAACGAATAACATAAAAAGTTGTTCATACTTGGAAAAACCTATTATCTTAGAGTGTGTTTGCTTGGGGGCAAAATATTTTCAAGGAAAAATTTGATTATATTTTCCTGCGTTTGGTGACATTAGTCAAATGAAAATACTTTCTAGGGAAAATATTTCACCCAATAAAGGGAAAACAATTTCCGTTTGAATTTCCATTCTCACTCCGCCCTGTCCCCCACGCACGCATCCCCCTGGTCCACCCCACACCCCTTTCCTTCCTACCCCACCCCTGCCCCCTCCACCCCCACTCCTTACCCTCCTACCCTCCCTCATCCACACCCATCCTGCCTCGTCTACCCCCGCCAACCATCCCACCCTCACTCTATCACACTCCCCTATCCCCACCCATTATCCTTCTTCACTCGCCACTCACCCATGAACCCCGTCCAACCACCCCCGGCTTCACCACCCATGCACCATGTGTCGCCCCTATGCTACTAAAATATTACTGGAGTATTAAATTGTCTCAAAACATCTTTTATCATATTAATTTGTTTAAATATTAATTATACAAACTATTTTTGTAAGAAAATGTTTTCCTTCCTAACAAACAACGAAAAGTATGATTGGAAAACAATTTTCCTTGAATATTATTTTTCTATGTAAAATATTCTTCTGGGAAAATATTTTACCCCCAACCAAACACACCCTATGTATGAAAGTTGACATTTTTTTGAGAAATTTTGGACTACATTTTCTATATTTAAATACAGAGTTTGGACTAGGGACAAACATGAAATGTGTAGAGGAGGTTGAGATGAGTTAAACCTTATCTGCCACAGAACATAGGGTGAGGGCTCGAGTCTGCTATGACAATGGCAAGTGAGGAGTCCAAGGAAAGTCACCTCGAGGAGTCCAAGGATCTCCCATCTTAAAGAATATCCAACTCCATGATGTGTTGCATAAAAAATGGTAAAGGGAATTAACCTTCGTAAAATCTTCACAATTTGTTCGTCAAAGTTCCTGCAGCTTACCCATTTGTCCCTCCAGGTCTTCAAGTTCTCAATCATACTGCCAGAAGAAATAGTCCACATCAAAATATCTTGTTTTAAAGCAATACAATTACTATTATTATTAACTAATTTACTCCGTAAAAATATACTTGACATGGTAATTTTGCAACTCCATATAGTAAGCCTTTTTATGAGACTTGATAGATTGGTGATGGCGGATGATACCATCAGGATGTAAATTGCCAGAGCATAGAAAACGACTCCTGCAAATTCAAAAAAAGAAAAAAACTAAAATCAATCATACGGCATAACAGCATTTAGAACTTCAGAAATGGCAAAAATAAGTTATTTCTATTTTATCATTTTTTTATATCAGCAAATGAATGCAGAAGAATTAAAGGTCAACAATATTGAGATTGACACACTTGGAAAACATGCTTCCTTACTTTTCCTAATTATTGGCATTAAAGTAGGCAATCACAACACTAATATTCAAAGACACTTGGATAAATATTTGATCACCAAAAGCACAAAAAACATGGTTTAAGGCATATCCAGAACTCATGATGTTTTCAACTCATCAGGTTATAAGTGTGGGATGACTTGCCATTGAAGGAAAGGATTTCCAAAGTGAAAGTTATCCCCTCCAAGCAAATCATGCACCAGTCTAGGTGCATCAGTTCCTCTAGGAAGAAATTTTATAAGAAGGCTCCGCTCATTGTCAGACAAACAAGTCTGCCAAACCTAGGAAAATTTCAACTTGAAGTGATACATCAAGAGGATAAAAAAGTCTACCAAAACATATAAATTATCCCAGCAGCTACCTCATGTGAAAGGACTTCAGCTAAATTGTCCAAATCAAAAATTTCTTGTGGCACAGTGACAACATCAGCCAAAATACTGTGGTGGTGTGGAACAGAACCATAAAAAGGAATGATATCTCTCCATGAAATGCAAATCTGATTGCGCTTAGGAACAACACATTTTTTCTTCTCATCCCAAACAAGAGAGACATTACATCTCATCTTAAAACCAAATTCAGTTACTCCAAGTCTCCTCTTTTTAGAACCATTTTGGTCCTGAGAGCAACCAACTACGGTTACAGCATTCATACGTTTCTTCCATTGATCAGCAGCCATTTGCAAAATATATCAAAGCACTATCCAATACGACATCATTTAAGCAATAAGCTGTCTCAACTCTATCGGCCAACCACCAATTTGCAGATTCAAAACCTTTTATAGAATATTATCATTAGTAAGCTTCATATAACAACCTTATATGTATGAGAAAAGGCATAAACTGAATCAACCCTCAAAGGAAACATTGCTCAGTTAATATTTAAAAAGATAGGAAAGAGGAGAATTTTTTTAATCTTTAATCTTTAAAAAACGGCGGTGATAGAGACAAGAATGTCACGATAAACAAAGATTATCCCAAGGTCCTCCTATCCGATCAAAATGATTTTGGAGAAACCAAAGGGTCTTTTCACTCGGCAATGTTGGAAAAATAATTAGCCTAGAAATACCTTATAAAAACAGATCCAAATTAGCGACACAACTCAGAGAAAGAAAAGAAATATTTTGTGCTGTTGAAATCCACAATCATGATACAAGAGTTCAATCTTCTAGAAAAGTGAAGCAAATTGCAAATTTTCAACACGCCGAAAAACTGGAAAACATACGAAGAGAAGAAGAAGAAAACCTCCTCGGCTACAAGCAACAAAAGCGCCGAAGAGAAAGAGCTAGCGGCTGGGAGAGAACCTTCCTGGCAGCAATAGGCAAAACTCGACTGATATGAACTTCTTTCATCGTCATGAACACTTTAGGGTTAATTTTGCTTTTTTTTAGCATTAATAAAACTAAAATTAGGTTTAGTAGCTAGGCAGTGTTCCTTCAATTTATTATTTCTGTTTATTACTTATTCTTATTACAATCATATATGATCAGATCCAATCAAATCAAATCAGGTTAGACCAGATCAAGCCAGATCTAAACAAAATTAATATTATTATTATTACTATTACTATTATTACCATTATTATTAGTATTATTATTACTATTACTGTTATGATTACAATTATTATTACTAGTTTTATTATTATTACTGCTATTAATATTAATAATATTATTATTGTCACCATTCTTATTATTACTATTATTATTATATTTATTATTATTGTTGTTAGTATTACTACGGCGTACTACAGTAGGATTCTAGTGACACCAGATTACAGTGCACCCCCAGCCCTGCACCCCAGCCCAATCCTGCCGTAAGCCCACACAAAATGTGTGGCTATTACGCATTGCATAATAGCCACACATTTTGTGGGGGGCTTACAGTGGGGTAGGGTGGGGTGCAGGGGACAGGAGTAGGGAGTGCATTAGAAGGTAGGAATTGTCAATTTTATGAACAAAACATCGGAAGTGCCCAAAATGATAGTGGCACCGCCAGTGTCACCAAACGTGAGTGTCACTAGAACCTCACTGTTATTACTATTATTATTGATATTATTGCCATTATTATTATTTCTATTATTATTATTACTATTATTGTTGTTGTTACTATTTTTATTATTATTAATATCACTATTATTATTATGAGTATAATTATTAATACTATTGTTATTATAATTATTATTACTATTGTTATTATTATGATTACTATTGTTATTGATATTATTATTAATATTACTATTATTATTATTTCTATTATTATTATTTATATGATTATTTTTATTGCTATTATTAGTATTATTATTATTATTATTATTAAAGTTATTAATATTACTATTATAATTACTATTATTACCATTTCTATAATTATTACTGCTTTTATTATAAATGTTTCTATTATTATTATTTCTATTATTATTATTACTATTTATTATTATTACTATTATTATTAGCATTGTTATTATTATTATAGCTACTATTTTTATTAGTATTCTTATTACGACTCTTTCAAAAAATAAGTTTAATTTCTTTTGAAAAAAATATAAGAAGAAAGAAAATGAAACTTTTGTGCGATAATAATTTATGTACAGAAAAATAAAATGATATGAAGCAAAAAAAAATTTAAAAATGAAAAAGAATAAACTTTAGAAACAAGTTAAATAGAAAACTGAGAAAGTAGTCCTTAATTATTAAACGTCAGAATAATTATTTTTAAAATACATTGACAATGTCAATCTAATTCTACTTTTAAAAGACATTTTTATTGTTACATGTAATTTGAGTTTCAAAAGTTACTACATTATAAAGTATGAATGGAAAAATATTACTTGGTCCGTCCCTGAGTATTTGTCCACTTTTGACTTTTGAAACTGTTCATCTAAGCACTTTGACTCATCAAATTCTCTCAATGTGTAAGCCTAAAAATAGTCATGTGTGATCTTGTTTGATTCGTCTTAACATATAGATTATTAATATATAATTTTTATAATTTTTTAATATAAAAATTACAAGATAAGATGGATTAAAGAAGTGCATTGGATGGTGTGCAAAAATGAAAGTGGACAAACACTCAGGGACGGAGGGAGTATTACATTATATAATTATATTATAATATGAATGATTATTAGAATATATGAATGAACTAATTTTATTTCATTAAAAAAATAATCATAAAATAAAAAAAAAAATTGATTATATTGTAATATGAATTATCATTACAATTTTCAAAAATTATTATAAAGTCAGATCAAATTATTGATTTGAATTTTAAATCAAACCATAATTAATTAGATCAGATCAGAACTACAAAAAATTAGATCAGATTAGAAAAAGTAAATTGAATGAAATGGAGCCTTAATAGCTGAGGTAGGAAGACACTGATATCGTGAGGCAGTTGGCGTCGAGTATGCATGACCAATAGCATTTATCTGCGTAACTAGAAAAATAAATAAACGGAAAATAGTACAGAAACAAACGTAGAGTAGTAAAAGTTAAACGGAGAAGCATCGAAGTTAACCCCCTTATATCTGTATATTACACACACACACACATACATACACACACACAGGGTATCGGAGCCTAACCCTAGGCCTCTCATGCGTCCCTGTTCTCCGACGTCTTCAATGGCTGAACCCTAGGCCGGCGTCGTGCTCCCTTTTCCGGCGAAGAAGCCCTCCGTCGAAGCCCTCCAGTTTGGGAGTGTCGTGTTACTCCAGTGTCTTGTTCCTTTTGTTGATTTGTTGAGATGGCGTCTACGACCAAGAAAACTCGGTTGATTCATGATCCATCGTCAGAATATTATCTTCATCCGTCTGAAGGCCCAGGTAATACTCTGACAAAGCATGTGTTGAAGGGAGAAATTTTTGATACTTGGGAGAAAACAATTGTTAATGCTTTGAAGAGACGTAGTAAGGCGGGGTTTTTGTCTCTTACGGGAATGCCAAAGCCTACGGATCCTGCGGAATTAGAAGCGTGGGAAGCTAATAATTCCACAATTTGTAGTTGGATTTTTAATAGTGTTGATGAAATTATACAGCCTAGTATTGTTTCTCATACCATGGTTCACGAGTTGTGGTTAGATCTGAAAACTCGTTATAGTACCATAAACGAGCCTCGGATTTATCAATTGGAGAATGAGTTGCAGAATCTTAGGCAAAAAGGGCAAACGGTGGTCGTGTACTACAATCAGTTTGTCACTTTACGGAACAAATTGTATGGGGTCGAGGATCCCACGTGCGGTTGTACATGTCAAGCTGCAGCTACTTTGAGGGCAAATTCGGAGAAGGCGAAAACAAGAAAATTTTTGTTGGGGTTAGATGATGAACAGTTTGGTACGCTTTGTGGACAAAATTTTGGGGTCTCAACCTCTTGCAGATTTAAACACGGCCTTCTACCTTGTTACCCAAGAGGAGCGTCACTGTAGCGTTGTCCGTGCTCGGGATGATCATACGAACGCTATGGCGTTTTCCGCTCCCCGCACCGTGCCTAACACGTACCAGTGCACTCATTGTGGTAAACAAGGACATACAGCAGATCGGTGCTACTTGATTATTGGGTTTCCGTCTTCGGGTCGCGGACGTGGTCGCACTTCATCTAACCGAGGGGGAGGACGCAACAGCCGTGGTGGCCGCACCTCTGCCCAGCTGCCACTCCCCACTGCTGGGCAGTCCGGCAGTCCAGCGCCCTCGGCAGGAACCTCCACGGCCAATGCTGTCACTGATGTTCCAAGCTCCCTCTCCGCCATGTCTTTAGATCAAGTAGCACGCCTATTCTCCATGCTTGATTCCACCCCTTCCATGTCAGACAAATTCCAAGGTATGTCCGTCACTGTTTCATGCGAGTGGTTGGTGGATAGTGGAGCCTCTCATCATATGACCAGTTTATTATCTTGCTTGACCGATGTTGTTCCACGGTCTCCATACACTATTAGCTTGTCGGATGGAACTCATGTTGTGTCCACTTTGTGTGGCTGTGTGCAAGTGTCTCTGTCTCTTACCTTGCACAATGTTTTATATGTTCCTAATTTGAAGTGCTATTTGATTTCTGTTAGTTGCCTTGTAAACTCACATAACTGTCATGTTTTCTTTGATGACCATTTTTTGTGTGATACAGGATCGCACTACGAAGACGCGGATTGGTCAATGTGAAGCACGCAACGGAGTCTATGTCTTTCCATCTCAAGCCCAGGCTTTCAAAGCCGAGTCCGTCTCCTTGTTGCATCAGCGTCTTGGCCATCCGTCTCCTCAAGTTTTATCTTTTCCTCCATTTAATAAAAGCACTAGTGATATTAAAAAGTTTCAGTCATGTGATATTTGTTTCTTTTCCAAACAGACTCGTTCTCATTTTACCCCAGTATTAATATAGCAGAACAATTGTTTGACTTAATTCATTGTGATTTATGGGGACCATACTCCCCCTGCATTTCTACTGGGTCTCATTACTTCCTTACTATTGTGGATGATTTCTCTCAAGCTGTTTGGGTTTTTCTACTTATTGAGAAAAGTGAAGTTAGTAGTTGCTTGAAACCATTTTTCTCTCTTATACATACTCTATACAATAAAATCATTAAAGTTGTTCGTTCTGACAACGGTACTGAGTTTCTCAACCGGCCCCTTCGTGAATTTTTTGCCAGTAAAGGAGTTCTTGTTCAAACCTCTTGTGTCAATACTCCACAGCAAAACGGTCGGGTTGAGCGTAAGGATCGTCATATTCTAAATGTTGCAAGATCTTTAATGTTTCAGGCTTCTTTACCTCTTGAGTTTTGGGGGAATGCGTTCGTACAACGGTTTATCTCATAAATCGTACACCCACTCCACTTTTACAAGGTAAATCTCCCTTTGAACTACTTTCTTAAAAACCTCCAGACTTGTCTCACCTCCGAGTGTTTGGGTGCCTCTGTTTTGTGCGTAACATTCAACGCCCTCCCAATAAATTCCACCCTCGTAGTCTCAAATGTATGTTTATGGGGTATCCTACCAGCACCCCTTCCTTTGATTTTATTTTTTCAAAAAAAATTCAAAGTGTTGAAAAAAATATGGTGAGCTTTGCCTTACAGTTTGGTGAGCTTTGTAGTTGTGCTTGGTGAGCTTTGCAGTGGGCAGTGGTGAGCTTTGCATCATCTGACCGAAGTATGTCATCGCAACATAAGGTGTCATCTCACTGGAGTCAATCCATATATATATATATATATATATATATAATTATTATATTATTATTAGGGGATTAGGAAATAGGAGATATTTACTCATTTTTAAGAACGGGATGGGGGGCAAATTATATCGTACATCAGGTTGTACCTGGAATGGGATAAAATTGGCTAATTTGGGAAAAAGAAATTAATGGAACGGAAGCAGCTAGAGTTGAAGCCGCTCCTTTGTTTGTCAGGTCGGGCCACCGTAGTCGAAAGACATGGAGCAGCGAAGACGAAGACAGTGGAGCAGCGAGGATGACGATGAGTGATGGTGGCGAAAATTGGTTGAAAACATTAGAGAAGGAAGATCGAGGGGCGAAGGTTGCCACTACTTTACAGACAAACATTAGAGATTTGTCTAACGATTAACAAATTTTGTTAATTGTTTTGGGAAAAATATAGTATTGAATTATCAAAAATAATTCAGAGTATCGATCAAGAAAGAAATTACAATAAAAAAAATTGTAGTGATTTATAAAATTTATGGGTTCCGTTTCGGAGAAAAAAATATTGTGCCATTTTCACAAGTTTTGAATTACTATTTTGGGGAAAAATTTGTATTGAATTAATAAAAAAATCACAAATTAGGTAGTTCCATTTTAGAAAGAAAATTTTATTGCAATATAAGATTATTAATAAATATTTCAGAGTGTTCATGGAAAATTGTAATACATCAGAAAATGTAGTGAGTTATAAAAATAAAAGTTCTATTTTAGAGAAAAAAAATTGTTGTGTTATTTTCACAACTATTGTAATGTTGTTTCACAAAAAGTATTTATATAGAACTATCAAAAAATATTCATAAGTTTTGTAGTGCCATTTTTTTAAGAAATAATAATTATGTAGTATCAAAAAATAATTTGAGGTGCAGCTCAAGAAAAATACAATAAATGCAACTTACAAAAAAATGTACTCCCTCCGTTATCAAAAACACTTTCTCTTTCATTTTTTCCCTTCCAACAAAATACTTCCACTTTCTATTAAAAAACCACTTTTAACCTTATTTTTTCATACCCTACCTATCACATCATACTTTATCTCTAATAATCTATCCATCACATCTTACTTTTACCTATCACATGAAGGGCAAAATTGGAAGTCAACTACAATTTAATAATTCTTTATTTTTACACAAAGTTAAAAGAGGAACACTTTTTCCAAACGGAGGGAGTAGTTAGTTACGAAGTTAATAAATTAGCTCTATTGTGTAGAATAATTTATTTTTTAATTATTACCATATTATTGGTTATTGAAAAAAAACAATTAGTTTCACTCTAAAAACACTTAAATTTGGTATTTTTTCCAAAAAAATAAAATAAAAATACATTTAAAGAAATTAAAAAACGAAAAAGGGAGAATTTACCTAAAATAATCCACCTTTCATTTATTTGCGAAAAACGGGCATTTTTCAAAATTTCCGTTAAGTGACCGTTAGTTTTTTAACGGCGACCCAAAACTCGCACATATGCGGAAAGGTGGTATTATTTCTGGTGAGAGTGAAAAGTAGAATTATTTTTGAAAGAGCACTAAAAGGTGGGATTATTTGAGATAATTTTTCCTTTTAAATAAATAGTTATGTTTGTGCAAGAATAAGTACTAACCTTCTTCAAAATGAGTACTACCCGAATTTACCTATCTCTAGGTACATTCGGTTGTAACATATACCGGGGTGGTTGGAATTTTGACCACCACGTGTCAATCTATAAATAAATACGGAGTAATAGAAACCCCTAAGTCAGGAGTTTGGAGCTCAAATTTTACATGAGAGAAGATGGCTGGTTGCGATTCGCAGAAACAACTGCTAACCCTAATTCGAGACTTCGCATCCGAAAAATCTCAAGGAGGTGATTTTTTAAATAAGTTCCATATTAGAACTTTCATTTGACATATTTCCTGGAAGTAAACGTGAATGGAAATATTTTACTTGGACTGAGTTGTATGTGCATATGCTTCTGTGCTCGCAGAGAGGAGAATCGCGAATCTGAAGAACCGAATCGGAGAGCTTCTATCTGAGATAGATGCTGCTCATGCGAACCTTGAAGAAGCTAAGCAGGTCAAGGAATCAATTGAACAAGAGCTAAAAGGAAATGAAGTAGAATTGGGCATGAGCGGGGCTTCAATTCAAACTCTCGAGGTTAATCAATGTTCCAATTACCGTAATTTCATGTCAATTGGGAAACTGACATCTAGAATGATACTTGAGGTTATTCTAAAAAAATTTTAAGGTTTCAAGTAGTTTTAAGCTATTGTTTAATTGGTTATAGATACGGATTGCTTCTACCCAAGAAGAGATATCAGCCATTGGTTCTAGTCTAAACACTCTTAAGGTACATTAACTGTTATTTTCTGGGGATATCTGCCTAGTCATTGAAAGATTTTGTTTTCGCAACTAACATTCATTTATGCTGAATAATGTCATACGAGTCTTGCAAAGGATGAAGAAAGCACATCAAGGTAAGCATAAATGAACCTTTTGCTTCCTCTGTATTATTCTTTGGTTGCCATTATAAAGTGATTCTCAAAGCATCGCGTGATGATCATATGCCTATATTACATTACAACTGAGTAATTCATTGGTGTCTTTACTGGTACATGCACAGAGAGGATTTCATAAAAAGGATGGTTGAGCTCAAAACAGAAATTAGGTAGGTACCTTTTTTGCGTGTATCTAGTTGTACAAGTAGTAAATAAATGATTGTGCCCTCAATTATGATCTTACTTTGGTTCGATATGTTACTGACTGTTTGGTAAAAAGTTGTATCAAAAGCAAGTATGTTTAAGCTCTCCAGTATGTTGGTTTTAAAATGTAGATGTGTGAGTCGAAAATTATGGGGGAGAGTTTCAGATGGATAAGATCAGTTATGTGTTTGAGATGGGTTGCATCAAATATAGGCTTCAAATATCTGCAAACAAGTGTATTGTCTATTGGTGTGTCATGTGCTCGAATATTTTTTTTTTGGATCTCTCTGGTTTTACTTGGAGAAGATTAACTGCTTTCTGCTCCCTCAAACAGGAAATTCTACGAGGCAATAGGTTCAGCTTTCAGCAAGAGAAAATCAAACTCTGGTATGGGTTATGCACAAAGATAACAACTATTCTTTGCATTTGCTCTTGTGGAAAACATTTGGTTACAAAAGGTTTAAAAAGTTATCAACTGAAATACTGAATAGACCACACCACAGTTGCACTGAAGTGTGGGATTGGGGGGGATATTTTAAATTTTAATATCTCATTAATGCTGACAAGATTTTCTTGGAAATAAATAAATACAGATTCAGATAAGCCCAATAAACTAGCCAAGAGGAATCTTGAGGATAAGCTTGCTCATCTAGTTAGCCAGATCACTATGGAGGAAGAAGATTATCAAACAATGAAGAATGTGCAAAAGCAGGTTCAACATTCTCTTTCCTTTTTTTATTGTCTCGAGTTTCCCTTTCTTAATACACTCAAGACGAGTTTCTGGTTCATAGTCTTTCTATTTATGTATGTATATCTATAGACTGAGTTTCTTGCCACCTTAATAGACTGAGTTGTATGGGGCATATACAGGTCGAGGAAGAACAAAGTATTGTGGCCAGGAGAGCAAAGTTGATGGAGGCAGTAATGAAGGAAAGCATCAAGCGGCAGGAGTTGAATAAATATCCTCCCTCCCTCTCTCTCTCTATCTCTCTCACATACATGTATATAATTATTGCAAGATAATTGGGAGTTCTATATAATGCAAATGCTACACAATTAGCTTGTGCAGTGGCTTGAGAAGAACTCTTGCAGTTATTTTACTTAATATTTTCGCATTGTCAGATGCTCAAGAACTATGTTTTACACTTGACTTGAAGCAAGAAGTCTATAGTGTTGGAGAATCATTGTGCATTCCTCGGTGAAGAGCTGCAAGGGAAATTGGTGTGTCCGAAATGTCACCAAGACAATTCAAAACACTTGGCTGGCATTCTTGGCCAGGTTAATGGTTCAAACTAACTACTTGTAATTGCAGACCATTAAAAAGATTTAATGGTTCTGCTGAAACCTGGAGGTTTTGATTTCCCTTTAAAGTTTGTACTATACTACTATGCCTAGTGGCTTTGAGGACGAAATTGAATCCCAATACTTTTCTATAAATGAATTACTCCCCTCAAAGATTATTTTATATTGGTTCGTTATCAATGGATCAGAGCTAATGGAGTCATTTTTTATGATGTTTTAGCTCCGTCTTAATAATGGATTAATTAATTCCAAATGTAATATTGAACTTAATTGGTTTCCTATTCATGGAAATTTTGCATAGTATAGGTTGCATTCCCACAATCCCACTAGACCTGATCAAAGTGTTGGCCGGGTTTCGGGTCGGGCCGAGACACTACTTTACGAGAATTTCCTAGGCCTGAGCCCGGCCCGGCCCGTATAACGGGCCTAACAATTGAAGCCCGAGCCCGGCCCGCATGGTTACTCACGGGCTTCGGGCCGGCCCGGCCCAACCGAAAAAAACTTTTAAAAAATTTAAAAAATAATTTTTTTATAAATAAAGTAACAAGTTAATATATTAGATATTTGATATAAAAATTATTATGAGTAATGAAAGAAAAATTAATATATAAATATATTTTGTTTGATATTGATACTATGAATGGAGTACAAAATACTCCTTCCGTCCCATAAAATTTTTCTCTTTTCTTTTTTCATCCGTCCTATAAAACACTTCTCATTTCTATTAAAAAGTTACTTTTTCACACTCTACCTATCACATCATACCTTTTTACTAATGATCTACCATCAAATCCTACTTTTACCCATCACATCAAAGGACATTTTTGGAAATTCAATACCAAAATACACTCTTTTAAATTTCTTCAAAATGCAAAACATCCCATGTTTCATGGGACGGAGGGAGTATTACCTATTGGAATGTCATAATCAATGTGTGATATGTTGCAAACAATACGGAGTAGTAAAGACGTATTCATTTTATTATATAAACTTATAGTTTATTTTTTCTCTCCATAGAAGTATGTATGTGTGTTTATAATAATTTGAAATAGATTTGTTCTTTATTATTATTATTAATGTTGTTATTGTTATTTTATTATAATTATATTAATAATAAATATTTTAATTTATTCGGGCCGGGCCGGCCCGTGGGCTTGAGCATAAACCCGAGTCCGGCCCTAAAATCTTCGGGCCGCCATTTTTAAGGCCCAAGCCCGGCCCGTACCCTAAAATGTCAAGCCCAAGCCCGCTATTTTGCGGGCGGGCCGGATACCCGGATCCGTGATCAGGTCTAACTCCCACAAATCATCAACGGTCTAGTGGTAACAGAATCTCAGTTTTTACAAGGTAAGGCTGCGTTCAACTCGATCCCCATACTCTAATGGAGTTGGGATTATACTGTGTTGCATGCAATTACTTTCTAACAAATGGGGTGATGGTTTCCGTGGTTTTCACTTCCCATTCCAAATTGAGTCCAAGGCTTGGTTTGACATTATATTTTGCATTTAACTTCATCATTTAAGGGGTTGTTTCTTGTCGGTGCTTATTGACTTATAACCTGTAACTTTTTGACTTATAAGCTCATTATAAGTTAAAAAATTTTCGTGTAGACAAAATGATAGACCTGGTAAAAAATAATCCGACTTGTTTTTGACCCGAAACCCGACTTAAAAACAATGGGTTTTGAACAAAGGTTTTGGTGTCTGAACCCGAAGTAGACCAAACTCGAAATGACTTAATAAAAATGGGTCAAATCCGACCGAACCCGAACTCGACCTGACCAACCTGCTAAAGTAAGAGTTTTTCAAAATCATACACTGTACTACTCGTTTTTAGTGTATAAATTTATATTTTCAGACAAAATTTTAATAAAATTGCATAATTATCTTACTTTTTTACAAAACTTAATCATTTTTTAAATTCCTTATATTAATTTATATATTTAAAAATTACTTAAGAGTTTAAAATAAAATAATCTAATAGATTTAATACATTTTTTTTATATTTTAAATTTATCAAATAGAAAATGTAAGTGTTAATGTGAATTTAAAAAAAACCAAAGTCATAACTCATTGGGTTGATCCGAACTCGATAACACTGGATCATGAACATATAGTTCTCAACCCGAACTCGGATTGACCTGAACTTGAAATAACCCAAACTCAAATTGACCGTACCCGAACCCGATTTGACCGACCGATTTGCCAGCTCTATAAAATGACTTAATTGATATATAAGTTATTTGGGGATATTCGTAATAGGTGAGAGATAGTTTTGTAAGTAATTTGGTCAAAATGGAGAAACGAAAAAAGTTGTCTTAAAGATAAGTAAGACCTATTTATTTTTTCTGACTTATAAGCAACTTAAGAGTACAGAGAAACCATCATCTGTTGACTTATAAGTTAAAAATAATTTATAAGCAGTTTTGATCAACTTATAAACATAGAGAAGCACATACTTAGATAAGAATTATAAGCATAAATACTCCTCATGGTCAAAAAACTATTGAATAATTGTGAAATAGTCTATATGGACAAAGAACAATTGAATAAGTAGTCTTTTCTTATAAAAAACGTGAAGTGTGCAGAACACAAGAATATTATGGAAAGATGTCAAATATGTAATTATAAAAAAAACTAGGGCTGTCAACGGATAACCGAAAATCTGATTATCGTCCGCATCCGTATCCGTTTAAAGAGGAAATATCCGCATCCGTTTTAAACGGATATTATCCGTATCCGATTAGGGATATCCGATTACTAAACGGATACGGATTTGGTAATTGTAAATCCGATCCGTTTAAAATCTGATCCGAATATGCATCCGTTTAACTAACCGTTTATCCGAATATCCGATCCGTTATATATAGTTTTTCCTAATTTTTTTATGTTTATATTTTGTTTCTTTATTGATATTTCAAAATATAAGACATTTTATATACAAAATAAATGTGTAGACACATAAAAATATGTAGAGACATATAAAAATATGTGTATATCTGTGATGTGTATATCTTTTTTATCATATCAAGTTATCGTAGAATATCTTAAATCATGAAAACAAAGAAAATAATTATCCCAACACAAATTATAGTTGATATAATAATAGTTTGACTTTAATTTAATTTAAAATTAAAGTATTGTTTAATTTGATTTTAAAAATTGGAAACAGATACGGATATATCCGATATCCGAAGGATGCAGATGCGGTTTTGATTTTCAGTATCCGTCAAGATCCGTATCCGAATTCGATATCCGACAAAAATAAACGGATACGGGTTTGGTAATGGCACATCCAATCCGGTTAATATCCGTTTACACCTCTAAAAAAAACTGATCTAGAGTTTTAATGGTGATGTGTAATCTTGAATTGCAGTACCATATCTTCCATTTATTAGTTTTAATGTCACACAAACTTCATTTTTTATAGTGATCTTTTTTAATAGTAGTACAATATTCTCGATGAGCTTGATATTATCTTATTCTTCAAGTAGCTTTGTTCTCGGACAGTGTCGTGTAGTATAAGAGTTGGAAGAAGACTCTTCTCTACTTTTAATCACAAAGATGATGGCAATTTTTGTTAAATTAGCTTGTTTATTTGGTTACATGTTTCACATTTTTGCATAGTGTGTGTGCATTTTGTGGACTTCATGTTTTAACGTAAAGAAAAGACTAATTATGCAATGATTCTTTGACCACATTGATTGTTTCGCAAGTTATGAAAGTTTGATAATTATATATCCATTTTTAGAAGACCATGTGTAGAGTTTATTCATGCAACTCTTTAAGAAAATGCTATTATGTGGTATTGTTGAATGTATAATTAAAAGTCTCTGAATGAGTCGGATTTGGATCAAAGCTGATATTCTAACCCATGTCCATTAAAGAAATAGAACTCGAGTCGTACGCGAGACTCGTAGGGCCTACTATTTGTGTTACGAGTGCGGATTATACAAGTTAAATACTTTTAACTCGATTCGTGATTTGTATTCAAATATAATGATTTTTATTCGCATTAGTCAAATACAAATACAAATTCAAATGCTCTCTATGTCCCAAATCACTATTCTCACTTTCTTTATTAAAGAACTCCATTTGTTTCTTCTTGTTTCCTAAAACGGAAATAGAACTAGATCCAAAATACTTTTATACCCCTAGATCACTCAGAATTACTACACAACGTACCCTAACCACCCCATTTCTCTCATCCCTTGCAATATGCCTCATCTTCACTTCCAGATATTACGTATCAGTGGTCTTGTCATCACCACTCTCATTGTAATTTTTTCTTTCATTTTTTTGTTTTTTGTGGATCTAGAGAATTGGCCAATGCACGATAAGATGGAGCAAAAGGACACCAACGAAGGCACAAAAATTTCAGATCTCGTAATGAAACCCAAAACACAAAAACATGGAAATTAGGGGTGCAAACAACATATGTTTAATTTTACCGAATATCAAATTTGAGTACGGATCTTTGACGAATGTTAAAAATTAAAACTGTATCAGCATCTATCGGATATTGGCCGGATATCGAGTATATTCATATTCGGTTCTAATTTCAAAGTCAAATTGAACTACGAAGTATATATGTACTTTTAATACATTTACTTAATTGTAATTTGGTACCCGTACCCCTTAATATTTTTATTATTTTTTGAAATATATTCTTTTCCACATAACCTCGATATGCTAATAGGAATTAAACACTACTGTATGTGTCTACAAGTATGTTTTACATATAAAGATGTCATATAACTATGTATGTATGTATGTATGTATGTATGTATGTATGTATGTATGTATGTATGTATGTATGTATGTATGTATGTATGTATATGTATGTATGTATGTATGTATGTATGTATGTATGTATGTATGTATGTATACACACACACACGCACACACACACTCACAAACACACACACACATATGTATATGTATATATCGGGATCGACTCCAGTCAAATGACACCTTACAGTGAGATGACATGCTACGGTCATGCTACGGTCAGATGACGCAAAGCTCACCACTGGTCACTGCAACGCTCAACAAGGACAACTACAAAGCTCACCAAACTGTAAGGCAAAGCTCACCATATTTTTTCAACACTTTGAATTTTTTTTAAAAATAAAATCAAAAGAGGGGGT